GCAGGAGCCGGGAGCAGCAGCCGAGACCGAGCACCAGAACCAAGAGCTGGAACCAAGAGAGACCTTATCCGGAACTGCTTCTCTTTTTAAAAGAGAAATATACCACGCCCCAGTGGGCTGGTATTTCAGCAGTTATTGGCTGACGGAGCGGAAGTCGCTCCCCGCTGCACTGTGGGCTCCTGCTTCAGTGATTATTGGTTGAGGCAGCGGAAGTTACTCCCACAACAACATTACATAGTGGTTAAAAAAAATGACATCATGAAATTTGCAGGCAAATGAATAGAACTAGAAAAAAAAATCATCCTTAGTGAGGAAAGCCAGACACAGAAATACAAACATGGTATGTACTCATAACATTTTAAAATATGCATTCTGGCAACTCCACGTGAATAACATTGGCAATCCAGATAAATCAGCTAATTTCGCAAAGAAAGCATAAAACACTAAAGTTCACTATATTTGTTACTTCCCTGGTTGTTGCAACGAACCTCTCAGTAAAAGGAATCAAGAGTTTATTTTGGTTCACGGTCTGAAGGTACTATTCATCATAAGAGCTGTATTATGGGTGGGGTACCGTCCATCATGAGAGCTGTACCATGGGTGGGGTACCGTCCATCATGAGAGCTGTATCATAGGCAGCAGGAGTGCAAGGAAGCTGGTCATATTGCATTCACGAGAGAAGACAGAGAGATGAATACTGGGGGTCCAATCAATTTCTTTTTATTTGGCCTGAAACTCCAGCTCATGGAATTGTCTGTTCACAGTTACAGCAGGTCCTCCCACCTCCATTAACCCAATATACAAGCTTCCTCAGAGCCATGTCTGGAGGTGTGTCTCCCAGGTGATTCTTGTCAGGCTGATAATCAACACTATTAACTGTCACACTCTTCTAGAATAAAAAGAGGTCGCTTGAATTACAAGATCTCAAGAAACGAGATTTAGAGTATTTTTTTTAAACAAATCTAAAAACTACTTATCCAGATTTAGAAGGCTTTCTCTTACAGTGAATGTAAACAAGAAAAAAAGAAAAATTCTACAGGATTTCTTTTAAAAATACAAGAGGAAGCATTTCTTAATTCATTCTACAAGAGTAGCATTGTCCTGATAACAAAATCAGTCCAAAAAGAAGTACAAATCAGAGAAATCACAGATAAACATCCTTCATGAACTTAGATACAAAACTCTGTGACAAAATATTAGCCAACAAGATCCAGGAATGTACCAAAACAATTTACATCAGGACGGATGTGTCCTAAGAATAAAGGCTATAATAATAGACCCCAATGGCCTTAGCAAGCTGACCCCACCCCCACCACGGGCGTGGGAGACTGGCTCCATCCCTTACCTGACGGCAATGGTCCCAGCCGCCTGATGAGAACAACCGAGCCACCATCCAGACACACATCCTAAACTTTGAGTGGACACTCCCCAACATCTACACTATCTATGACTTTCTGGAGCACCTGAAGGGATGGATTCTGGGGAGCCATCGCCTCAGGAAGTCCATGACTCTACATAACTGCAGGATACCTGGGAGGAGTTTTGATGAGGACCCAGTATGGATGGTGTAACAGAAGCCAGAGGCCTTGAACCTGACCAACAGGAGATGAAACAAAGAACATTTGCACGTAAGGTTGTATGGACAGGAATGTACTGTGTGGAACACAGCCGCTCCCAGTGTCACCAAGGCAGATGAAGAGGTGATGGAGAGTTGAGAATGATGAAGCAACGAAGGGTTTTTTGTTTGCTGGTTTGTTGCTGTTGTTTCTTGTTTTGTTTGTTTGTTTGGATTGGTTGGGTTTTGTTTGCTTTTTAATAAATATTCTTAATTTCTGTTTTTATTTTTAATTTTTATCTTATTTTTATTATTTCTCTTTTAGTTTTCCTTTGGAGGGGGGAGGCAATACAAGGGCGAAGGGTAGATATCAAAGGACTCAGAAATGAGTGGGATTGGGATGTGTGATGTGAAATTCTCAAAGAATCAATAAAAATTATGTTCATTAAAAAAGAATAAAGGCTGGAGCAAGAACAGGCAATTCACTACACTAAAAGCTAAAGAAGACAAAACAGAATGCTGCATTCTTCAAATAAGTACCGAAAATGCTGACATGGCACCCATTAACAGGAAAACAATCCCAACGCCATGCAAATCTCCTTCTCTTCTGTTTTGTCCAATTTGGGGATTAGGGTGGCTGCTGTTTATTGTTTTATTTTTTACTTTGAGATAGGGTCTTGTTGGATAATTCAAGCCATCCTCAAATTTGCACCAATCCTCTAGCCTCAGCCTCCCAGTCAGTGGCATTGTAGGTAGGTACCACCACACCTGGCTAGATGTCTTCTTCTTTAAGACAATAAATGGCAGCTGCAAAACTCCCACAACAGTATCATACTTAATGAAACTAAATGTTTGCCCCTCTGACCTAAGAAAACGCAAGGCCACTTGTGTTCAGGGTGACACTGGGTCTCTGACTACAGTGTGCTGGTTTGAATGAAAATGGCCCCAGAGCCTCACAGGAAGTGACATTATTTGAAAAGTTTAGGACCTATGACTTTGTTGGAAGAAATGTGTGGGTGAGCTTGAAGTTTCAAAAGCTCAGGTCAGGCCCTGTTGCTCTCTCTCCCTGCTGCCTGGCCATTCAGATGTAGAACTCTGGACTCCTTCTCCCCCCTCCCCTCAATTCTGCCTGTGTACTGCCATGCTTCCCAAAATAACAATAACGGACTAAAGCTCTGAACTGTAATCCAGTCCCAATTAAATGTTTTTCTTTATAAAAGTTT